GTTAGAGGCCGCCGTGGTGAGCCGACCCCACAAAGTGAAGGGAGAGTGTCTCTACTGCTTCGTCACACTCAAGGACTGCGAGGAGTTTGACAACAAGCTGGTGGAGGAGCTGAAGAAAGGAGGTTCGAGCTAACTCAAACAAAACAAGACGGAACAAGACAAGACAAGACAAGATGACAAAAACACACAAAACCAAACCAAATCAAACCCAACTCAACCCAACCCCAACAAACCCCACCAAGCCCAACTCAACCCAACCCCACCAAATCCAACCCCAACAAACCCCACCAAGCCCAACTCAACCCAACCCCACCAAACCCCTCCAAACCCCACCAAGCCCAACCCAACCCAACAAACCCAACTCAACCCAACCCCTCCAAAGCCCACCAAGCCCAACTCAACCCAACCCAACCAAATCCAACCCCAACAAACCCAACTCAACCCAACCCACCAAGCCCAACTCAACCCAACCCAACCCAACCAAAGCCAGCCCAGCCCCTCCAAACCCAACGAAACCCCACCAAGCCCAACTCAACCCAACCCCACCAGACTCACCCCAACCCAGCCCCTCCAAACCCAACCAAACCAAATCCCACCAAACCCAACCCAGCCCCTCCAAACCTCTCTAAAAACAACCAAACCAAACCCCAACCAAACCCAACCCCACCCCTCCAAACCCAACCGAGGAAATTATTTTTGTTTCTTGCCAGTTTTAGACTCAGATCAAATCATTGAGTAAGAGAACAGTGTTAGCCTACCATTTTGCCAAAAACTTCCTTGTTTTAAGCCCCGCTCCCTCCATGCAAACAAACCCCAACACCTCATAATTCTTCAGGTGTCAACTCTTCTTGTTTCTCATAGTTTTCCCTTTGCTACTTAAAATTGCAGTGGAGGGGTGGGGCTTAAAGTCCTACATGGTCAGTGTACAGACTCTGGTTCCAAATAAATAAAATACGGCAGCTTCTGAAAACCGGTTCTTGCTCGTTCCATCTTCCAACAATGACAGAAAATGGGGTCCTTACAGTCCTACAGTATTTTAATATGTCTGTGGTTGAGGATGACTCTCAGCTAGTCCCACGCCAAAATTTAGCTRAATATCTCTAAAATTAGAGTTACACCCATTTTTGTGTTTTCTAAGCTCTAAGMTTTTCTTTCCGTTTTTCTTCCAGTGAGAGAAAAAATTGGACCAATCGCGACACCAGACTTCATCCAGAACGCCCCGGCGCTGCCGAAGACTCGRTCAGGTGAGACCTGCAGCAGCTTCCTGAGGTAACGCCTGAAACCAGCTCCCTCTGAAGCACCTTCCTCCTCCCTCCTCTTCCTCTCCAGGGAAAATAATGAGGCGGATCCTCCGGCAGATCGCCCGGAACGAGAAGGACCTGGGGGACCTCTCCACGCTGTCCGACCCAAAGGTGGTGGAGGTGCTGCTCAGCCAGAGGAGCCAAGCTGCAGCCTGAACCTTCTTCTGACTGATGAAGACTATCACACCTGCTGGATGTCCACTCAGAGACTTTTAGAAGCAGAGAAATATTTTGTAGATTATGTTTGGGCCAAAATATCCGACGAGTTGAAGTAATTTTTTTCAGTTTTGCACAGCTTGTGTTGTCTGTATTTTCCTATGACCTGAGAATAAAGCGCTTCATCCTTTTGTTTGATCCCAGCAGCTAAATGTCGCCCTCATGTGGCAGGAATCTGCCTCTGCAGCCCTTTAGTGAAGAGGATTTTTTTTTACCCTTTTAGTGCCTCATGATGCACAAAAAACCTCCACGGTTCAAATTAGATGATCTGAACAGAGTTATTGTCAGGGGAGAGAAGAAGCTGAAATTATGAGTGTCAGGTGATTTAAAGACAAAGAAAAGAAGTGAAAGTGTAATTTTTGATCCTTCAGACCTCAGCAGGTTGTATGAGAAGCTCCTCCCGTCGTCTCTTCGGGTCAGGAGGAGTCGGCGGGCGTCTCCTTTTGTTCGTCCTCCTCGCATCACGTGACCCCGGCGATGCGGGCGCACGGGAGGTGGGAGGGACTGGGAGACGACGGAGCTCGGGAAGTTACATCACCGGGCGTTACCATGGCAACCTGCTCACTTTTTCATCCCTCTCTGATCCATCCTCTTTTCTTCTCTTTCTTCTTCTTCTGCCAGCGACTCCAGCTGCACTCTGCAGATGTTTCGTAACCTGACGCAGTCCATGACGCTTCCTATTTCTAGTAAAACATAAAATAAAACTTTTGAATTAGTTTTAGGCTGAGAACATCTAATGTTTGATAAATATTGTAGCCTGCACTGTCTCATGGTTAAAGTATGTGTTATGAACGACTGTCAGCTACAACCATAGCTCAGTATCTGAAAAAAATGACTGAATTTTGCCATTTTTGTGTTCTTTTAAATAAGGTGGCTGTGGCGGCCATCTTGAAAGGGGTCGTCTCCAAAAGTTAATCAGTCYTAGATGAACGCACGACTATCATCTCCTGAAAAATTTATGAAAATCCATTCAGTCGTCCATGAGATATTTTGCTAACACAAACGGAAGTGACCCTTGAATAGTTAATAGCAAAAATTTTTAACAAAGCTTTTGCACAATCTGTTAACACTTGAAATGTGTTGRGGATCAGTTTCAGCTACTAACACACAATTTTAGCTCGATGTCTGTAAATCCGACAGAGTTCAAGTCATTTTTGTGCTTTTAAATGTCAGCTGGCTGTGGCGGCCATCTTGGATCTGGTTGACTCTAGATATTAATCAGCTGTAGTCGTGCATACAGTGATTATTTTCTGAAAATGTCATTCAAATTTCTTCAGTAGTTTGTGAGATTTTATGCTAACAGACACGAGGAAAATCATCATTGCCTTCTAATTTGGATGGAACAGGAAACTTTTCAAATCAGAGTCGAAATTTAGAGAGAATCTAAAAAAAGATCTCCACTAACGAGCRTAAAACTGAACCTTTCAAACATCCTGTTTTGTTGTTTTACATTAAAGTCTTATCTGGGTCTCTGAGCCGTGGAAAAACGTGGAACACGTCCAAAACAAATCCCACAAACAAAAGAGTTGAAGACGACCCCGATCCTCTAAAGAAAAGACAGATGGTCCGACTGAACAGGAGACCGTTGGGACCTTTTGTTTTAATTTTGCATGAAAGCAGAAGTTTGAKTGAAGCTGCAGAGTCAGGGAGTGAGTGCTGCATAAAAATGAACATTTAACACATTTTTGTAGAGAAGTTGTCGAACACCAAGCATCCATTTTTCACGTTCCTGATTTTAGTGAAATCTTACATCAGCTGCTTCGAGAGCTGCACCTGTTTACAGTTTCGGACCATATTTACATGTAAACAATCAGGAAATGTGTAAAAAGTTACACGTTCACACGGGAACGCTGTGATCGTAAACACTGTTAGACAAAACCAAAAAGATGTTGTAGTAGGAAAAGTCGCTGTAGTTTCTATGCCGGGTCACCAGGTGGCGCTGTGAATTCTGTATTTCAGCAACACTTCTGTCGTGTTGCCGGATATGCAAAAATCTTCACATATATACTATAATTTTAGGACTTATGCAGAATAAATAATTTTTAAAATGTCCAAATATGCAAAAGTTTCGGCATTTTTATCTGCTAAAAAACAAGAACTTGTTTTTTTGTTTTGTTTTGTTTTTGTTCAGGAAGCTTTTACTCAGTTCCTGTTTCTAGTTTTGGGGGTTGGAATCCCTAATGTTTAGTTTAGCGCTTTTAAATATTTGTGCAGGTTGAGTAAATTCTGACCTGGTGTTTGAAGAAAGAACAAATCTCTCATCAGGAATTAATCCAGTCCGGAGATCAGCATCGTGGCTCCGCCTCCATCACAGGATCTCTAGGTTCAATCAAAGTGCAAGGTAAACGTCTGTACAAACAAAACAGAARTAAGTAAGAACTAACTCAGACCAGCTCAGTGTGGCCAGAATTTAACAATATAAGTCCAAAAGTCTATCTGCAACAGGTAAGATACTCATTGTTCATAGTGAATTTCATACTTTTAACTGTGACTTCTTCTGTTTGTCTGATTTTGCTTAGAACAGGATTGTAAATGTCTGAGGTCACATCCTTCCTGCTGAGATCAGACTTTAAAGCTTTAAATTGCAGCTGTGTTTGTATGTTTGTGTGTGTGTGTGTGTGTGTGTGTGTGAGTTGGTGTAAATTATTCAGCAGTGGTTGGTTCCTCTCAGGGCGGATGGATGTAAAAGCAGAGCTTCTTCTTCCTCTTCTCTCTGCTGACCCACTCAGGGCCATCAGCAGCTCCCAGCATGCACCTGGGCCTCATTAATTCTTCATCCTGGCCTCTCAGTCCTTTTATCAAACACTCTTCCTCAATAAGAGCCTCAAAAATAGAYAATATTTGTAAAAGTGTTTTTTAATCTCAGAAATCTGAGATAAACGTCAATCCGTAGATCCTCAACTCAGCATTTTTATATATTTGTTTAAAAGTTAAATTAAAATATATTACCTTTAACACAAATTGACACATTTTTCCTGAAATGAGAAAAAATATCATCACATTAAAAAAGGCAACAAACATCAACAAGATCAACATTTGCAGCTCATCACTGTCCATCTCAGCTGGTAAAAATAATTCCTTCATGTCTGAAGCTTTAAATAAAATTTTTTTCCTTGTGTGGCGCCGTTAAAGACAAGAAAGGTGAATCGTGTGTGACCGTAATGAGGATTTGAGGATCAAATCTTCTTATTCATGGTCTGCCCTCACTCTATAACCCGCTGTAATCCTGTGGTCAACGCTGTAATCTGCACACACACACACACACAATCCACCGTTAAATCCAACACTGAACACACACGCAACATCTTGAAAATACACATTCATGTTTATTAACATTTAGTATTTAAGACTAGAGATTATTTGACTTTTTCGACATAAAACATTCATATTTATGTTTCCACAATCCGTTCATGTCAAAAGAAGAAAAAAAAAAGTCCATCGGTAACAAAGACGGCCTATCAGGTACAATAATTTACTTAAAAACAGACATTTTTCGTTGATGCAAAAACAACCAATGGAACAGTTGAGCAGTTCTTCCCTCTTGGAGCGAGCACAGACCACTACAGCTGTATGTACATGCACTAAAGTGCTCGTGTTTTAAAAGGCATGCAAACACCGCTCACGTTCTGCCGCCCGCATCTGCATAAGGTTCTTCACGTTTTTACACACCTCAACGTGGAAATCAACCAAAACGTCAAGTGACATCATGTCTCCGCTTCCGATGAAGCTGAGTTTAGTTCAACAAAACTTTTTTTTAAATGCCGTTATTAAAAAAATTAATAAAGTCCAGCTACATGAGAAAATGTAAACAGATTAAAGAAAATCGTTTTTTTTTTTACCTGAAAAAAAGTTTAAAATATAAACAAAAACCAAATGAAATGATCTGCATCTTTCATAAACCCGTATTTTATTCATCACGAAACAGTAAACATGTTTAATGTTTCAACTTGGAAATTATATTTTAAAAAAATTTAAGGTAAAAACATAAAATTTAAAATTTGACGGCAGAAACACGATTTAAAAATGTTAAAACGGGCAAGAAAAGGCTGCGATAACAAGAAACAAGTAATTTGCAATAAATTAGATTAATTGGCAGCAGGTCAGTGAGAGGGCGGAGTACAAAAAGAGACTTTTATAAAAAAATTAAAAATAAATAAAAAGCAGAATTTCTGCTTCTTGCTCCAATGCTGGTTAAAGCTCTATCACGCAAACAAGCAGCCATATTTGAAGACTGATTGGTAAACAAAAAAATTGTTCTGTGGTCACATAAAAAAAATTGTAATTATTTTTGGAATCCACGGTTTCCTGCACTAAAGAGGAGAGTTGGCACATAGTTTAAAGGCCTGCCTCGCTAATATTATGGGGGTGCATTTGTGAATCTGAGCTACACATCTGGACAGACGCCATCATTTCAGGAAAGTATAAATCGAAGTTTTTAAAAGAAACCATTGCTCGTTTCAGCAAGACATTGATAAACTGCAACTTTTCGTAAAATTTGAAACTTTTTTATTTTAAACATGTTTACTATGTTTCAATGTAAAAAATACGGATTTAAGAGATTTGGAAATCACTGCAGTTTGTTTTTATTTACATTTGACTCTTTTTCTGACTTGAGGTTGTAATAAATAAATAAATATGAGCACACAGACGTGTCGTGAGTTTAATGATTTGGATCCAGATTCTTAAAAAATAAATAAATAAAATAAATTTAAAAATAAAGTTCTGGTTCCTTGATGTTCAGCTGGTGCTACAAATCCAACCCCCCACCCCCCACCCCCCACTGTTGAGGCTCTGTTTTTTGACAGTCTCTAGTTCTGGGGGGGATCTGAGGTACGTTTAGGCTGAGCTGAAGGAGGCGGGGTTGAGGGGCGGTCTCATGCCGGCTCCTCCCCCTCCAGGATGGGCTTCTGTTGCGCCGGCAGCGGGAAGGCGAACCTCCTCTTTGCGCCCTCGTTCCATTTGGGGGAGGAGGAGGGGGAGCGGGCGGCCCAGCGGGAGGGGGGTCGGCGGTTGGCCGGGCGGGCCGGTCTCAGGAAGCAGGAGTCCAGGGGCGGAGCCACCGGAGACCGAGGCAGGTCCTGCCAACGACAAGGAGCTGTCAGAGAGGAAGAAGKGCAGCTGATCGCCGAGGAGGAAAACAGGAAGTGAACAGATTCTAACAGAAAAGAAAATGTTGTCATCCAGAAGTTAAATGAGGGGAAGTGTTAACCAGAGAGTTACTTGAGATTTAAAACAGTAAACTATGCACAAAATTCATTAATTTTAACTATATTTAGATAATTATTCCGATGTTAAAGATGTTACAGGTTAAAGTACAAATATGAGTTCATTAATCTCTAAAATCTTCCCACAAATGGCCTCAAAGCATTACATAACCTCCTTATTTTCCTTTTAAATTAAAAATTTCTGCCTGTTTTATGCAAAGCAATCACTTTTTGTGACAAAAAACTACAGATAAAACTATTCAAACAGTGATAAAAGCTGCAGGAAGGCCTGACTGAAACAAGACAAACAGAACGAGATGTGAAACGACTCCATGTTTCCTACATGCATCAGTGATGAGGACAGGTAACGTGTGGCTGCAGGTAACAACAGAATGAAAAACTTAAAGAGAGAATCCACTTTCAGACACGTGGCATCTATACTAAATAATGACGGTTTTAGTCACTCTGAACCACCACTAAGCTGAATTTAAATATTTGTTTCTAGATTTTATGTGTATTTGAAGGTGGATTTTGTTTCTTTAAGTGTGACAAATGCACCACAATATTCAGTTATTTATTTAACCAGAGATAGTAAATAAGAAAAAAAAGGTGAAATTTGACAGGAAGAGATGAACGTCATCTGGTAATCTTTTCTGTGACTTATTAGTGTCTAAAGAAATGATGAAGGCGTACTGTAAGAGGAAAGAAATTCATGTAAGTAAAAAAAAAAAACATCACAAACAAGACCTGGTGGAAACAATGTTATTGCACCTGCAACT